TGTCCTAGTCACATGTGCCAGAAATAAAGGAAGTAAAAGGAGATCTAGTAATCTGTCCTTAGTAAACAAGGCCACTGTCAGAAGACTGGAGAAGAAAAGAGAAATAAGGAATGCAAAGAATACAAAGTCAGCAATTATCTAGAAGTATGTGTTTGTAGATTGTCATCACTAAACATTTCTAAACGTGTCTTTGTTGTCATTTTAAAGATATGAGTAAATGGGTAAACAGATGGAATGCTCCTCTGCATCCTCGCTTCTACACTTGTATAGAACGTAATCACACAAGGATTCTTAGACCACTGCAGAGGATGGGGAGAGAGGCTCCAGGGACCGATCTAAGAACAAGCCAGCTTGAATTATGTAAGAGCTAAACTTCCACACCCAAAGTGAGGTCTCTTTAATTTATACAACATCCGTAGCACCACTTACAATGACTGTAGATTTATGACACCATATTTGTTTATTATCAAATGACCCACAGAGACATTTATGTTGTTGTGAGATAGTCATTCCTGGAAGCATTATTGTACTGACTGCTAATTTGTAAATCACATGCCATTTGTTTGCAGCCAACTCCACCAAAATTTTCTGTTAAAGAATTATAATCATTGGTCCCCAGTTCAAGCACATGTAGCAATCGGTCTCTGTGAAGCTGCAACAGCTGCAAATTAATTAACACATTAAATATTTCCAGAATGTTTCAAAGATTTCTATTACTGACAGCTTATTGTTCCCTTTCCTGTGGAGAAAAGGAAAATGAAAGATTTACTGCATACAGGTCCTAGTGAGTCCTTCATGAGGTGACATTTGGGGTGGGGAGTCATCTTCCTGTCTAATGTCTATGCCATAGCTGGCACAGCCCCAGCCACATACAGAGTTCTGTAAAACTGTTATTTTCCGTTTCTCTTAAAAATAAAGTATGGCAGGCATAGAGGAGAGAAAATTGTTCTGACAGTCATTACTTTAGATAAGATCCAGGTAGATAGGCAACCCAACAATGCTATTGGATAGAACAGCAGGGTGCTAGACTGCATAAAGTCCACACAGCAAGAAGCAAGTGTTTATTGTGCTACTTTATACATTATTACTGAGACCGCTGTATTCTGTTCACCGGGGAATGAGGCAGGAAAAAGAAAACTCTCACGCATAACTCCTAAAGTACAGATAGGAAAAGTTTAAGCAACATAAAAGTGCAGTCCCAATACACTCAATGATTACAGAGATGTCTGTTACAATGAACTCCATAACATTCACCCAGAACAGATCCAAAGGGTTTATTAACAAATTGTTCTTCTTTATACATTAGTAATAAGAACACACCACTTACAGATCTACAGGGTTAATTCCTGACCCTTCTGTCCTTGTTAAACAGGTTATACTACTTCAGGATGTACATTTCTGACCCTTCATTGTACATGCACCCGTGTGTCTACACATTCAGTCGTGTGAAAAAGTACACCCTCTTTTTGAGTTTTGGGACATAATAACAATAATCTGTTCCTTAGCAGGTCTTACAAATAGGTAAATACAACCTCAGATGAACAACAACACACAATATACACTGAGTGGCCAGATTATTATGACCACCTGACGTTTGTAGGATAATTAGCTATACTTTTGCGCTGAAGTTGCTAGAGGGCCAGACCATTATAAATAGGGAATCGGGTTGGTTTCCACGACAGTAGAAGTGATTTGTTTCTGAAGATACGGGTAAACAACACGATTTAACAGCCTTTGAACGTGGGATGATTGTTGGCGCTCTGAGCCATGGAGCGAGTATCAGCAAAACAGCAGAATTCGTTAAATGTTCAAGAGCAGCTGTTGTTAAAGTGTTTAAAGACTGGACTGTCAGCCGAAAATCTGGGTCTGAACGTGCGAATTGTGGCCGTCAGCGACTAGTCAATGTTAGGGCAGAACGGAGAGTGGCAAGACTGGTACAAGACAACAGAAGGGCAACAGTGCAGTGTCAGATTCCTCGCATCACCTTTCAACATCTCGTGGAGTCACGAGGCGGCCCAACGAAGTCATCTCGTGGAGTCATCTCGTGGCCCAACGAAGTACTGATGGGGTGGTCATAATAATCTGGCCACTCAGTGTATTTACGCCATGTCATTATTTATTTTACAAGCATAAGACACTTTAGAAATGTTTAGTTATGACAATCTACACACACATACTTCTAGACAATTGCTGGCTTTGTAATCTTTTCAGACCTTATTTTTCTTCCCCAGTCTTCTGACAGTGGCCATTTTAACTAAGAGCAAGATACTGAATATCCCTTTACTTCCTGGAACTCTGGCACATGTGACTAGGACATGTGACCATGCACATCATCTCAGTGGAGGAAAATGCCTTTCCCTAAGATCTCATGAGATTTCCCAGCAATGCTCTGCAATGTATACCTTCCCAGGTTGCAACGCTTGGGCACAATTACATCATTAGTGCCAAAGTGGACCAGGAAGTGGGTAAAAAGAAAGCAAAAAAAAATAAAATATATATATATATATATGTTTGTTTAGCTAATGAATGTAAGATGATTTCATATCAGCATGCAGAGCTGTTATGTGATTTTTAGCCAAAGGGGGCAAAGGTCCACTTGGCTAAGGACCAGTCAGGCGCTGCTAATCAAATGCCCTTTATTAATTCATCCTCAGCAAGTATATGACCACCTGTACTAAAGTTGAAGTTTTAGCAGTTTGCTGGTCTGGAACATTCAGGTGTGTGTTAAAACATTGCCAAGGAGGCAAAACATCAGCAATGATCTTAGGGAAGCCATTGTTGCTGCCCCTCAATCTGGGAAGGGTTATAGGGCAATTTCCAAACAATTTAAAGTCCATTATTGTACAATGAGGAAGATTATTCACAAGCGGAAAACATTCAAGACAGTTGCCAATCTTCCCAGGGGTGGACGTCCCAGCTAATTCACCCCAAGCTTATACTGTGCAATGCTCAGAGAAATTGCAAAAAAACAGAGTTCCATCTCAGACTTTACGGGCCTCAGTTAGCATGTTAAAGTTCATGGCAATACAATTAGAAAAGGACAAAAAAATGCGATTTGTTTGGAAGGGTTGCCAGGAGAAAGCCTCTTCTCTCTAAAAAGAACATGGCAGCACGGCTTAGGTTTGCAAAGTTGCATCTGAACAAGGAATGAGAGGATCCACAGTAGGGGCCGCCTAGTCCTCAAGGAAGCCATCGTTAATAGGATATTGCTGGGCAAACAATTTTGAGGGAGAGAATGGCTTCTCATGGTGATCACAGTCACCATATACCACAGGCTGCAAAAAAAAGGATTTAGCAGGTTTAGCCATTTTCAAGGACACCAAGCTCATGACCTTCAGAAGTGTCGACGCAAGAATTACTAACTACAAAGTAGTGTAAACTGTGTCTAAAGGGAAAGAACAAGTATCCTTTAGATACATGGCCAGGGGCTTGAAAAACTGCAGCACTGTGCAGCAGCGAAGCTCTCCCTTGTGTGCGTGCAGAGTCGCAGCAGCAGGATGCAAGTGTCCAGAGAAATGCACCAGTAGAGAAAATGGTGGAACATGCACAGTAGAGTACCTAGGAAGGAGGCTGCACAGGCACAGTCCCCGGGCCCTAGGCCGCATGGGAAACAACCACGGAAAGCAATCTTAAATCCCTAAAACTGAACCACCACGGAAAAGGCAAGCTAAAATCCGCACCAGAGCCACAGATTTAACCCCGTAGGGTACTGGAACTACCGCCTCGGTACCTCACCTGTAGGAAATGGCTAAGGGTTACCTAAGGGGTTTTTGGTCCTTACCATGGATGTTTGGCAGTCAACAAAGAGATGCCATATGATTTTTTCACCCCACCCCCATTCCTGGGTGGTCTTACCCCCCTAGGGGCAGTCTTCAGGTTTAGGTCTTCATTAAAGCCACATGGCCCTGGACCTCTAAAGGAAACTATGGGGTCTATTCACTAAGCTGCAGCAGGCAGCAGAGTGAATGACCGACCTGAAGTGAAGTGAGCCGAACACTGTTCGGCTATTCACTTCAGGCTGGTACGGCTAATTTACTAGAGAGAGAAAAAAAAAAAAGAAATGTTACCATTTAAATACTTTGCTACATTACTATTGGCAATTTCAATTTGCAATAGCCAATAGTAAACTAGCATTGTGGACCTGAAAGGTTCGGGAACTGTACGGGCTATTGTGAATAGCCCGTACAGCAGCCCTTCGGTTCTACTGAACTGAAGGGGTCCTGGGGCCGAAGCTAGCCGAAGGATCGGCCGAAGCTACGGCTAGATCCTTCGCAGCTTCATGAATAGACCCCATATGTGTTGTTAGCACTGCAGCTAACCACATACGTTTAGTAGTGCCAAAAAGGGTCCAGCAACTGAGCACATTACAGACCAGCACCACATTTTCCTTTTGGCAGGGTCTGGGTTCAGTCCCCTAAGCCTCTGCTGAGGAGAAACCGATCTAGATAGGTGCTGAAGTCTCCACAGTGGCTGAGAGTAGCATTAGGAAAACTTGCTAGAAAAGTCTTGCAAAAACATCATAGAGAAAATAGTGTTTAGGAGTGTACATCTCTCAAAGTTGAGAGAAGCCATTCATCACCTAAGGTTGGCTGAGTGTGGGAGGGGTTATGCAGAGCTGTCTTGTAGCTTTGATAGATTTGGCTGTGTTCAATCACCTGAAGTAGCTTCATAACCCAGAGATTAAAAGAGTTAACTCCCTGTGATGTACCATCAAGAAAGTGTGTAATGGCAGGATCACCAGCTAAAAAAAAAGAAAAAAGAAGACTAATGCAGCCACATCTAGAGTATAGACTGGCAAGCTGCAACATATTGCAATATATTATTTTTTTGTTCTTGGGTCTAGATACACTTTAAGGAGAATGCAGAGGAAAAGAGACTCCTTGTGAGGACAAGGAACAGGCAGTAGCTACATCAGCGTTCCAAAACCGATTCAAGGAGGAGAACAATTTCATACAAGATTGAATTAAATGAGACATTATCTTTACAAATACCTGTCTTACTATCCATCACATGACCCATGGTCTGTCGAGTGAAGACACCCAGATCCTGTAGGTTGCGTGACACTCGCCGTCCTCTCTCGGCCAACACATGTCTGCTATCTCCTGCTGACACTTTACCTGAAAAAGAAGCAAATATTACAGTAACTGCATAGAAGAGACAAGAGACCACTAAGTCATTTTCTTAGATCAGTTCCTGGAGCTACATCCCCGCAGTTCAAAATGTATTTTCTGGTATAAACTAGGCTGAAGTTATTTACAAATGATATTAAGCTTTCTTTTTTTTAATTTTGTGTATATTTTTTAAATGCAACCCATGCAAAAAAAAACACAAACACAATAAAAACTAAAAGAAGTAAATATATGCATTAATAAGGGGTATGTATTTAAAAATAAAAACCTTCACTTGCTAGAACTGACATTATGTGCAGATCAAAGGAAACTCCTTTGGTCAGTGTGTAAAAGCTAATCAAAATACAGAGAGGAGCAAGCCTTGGCCTATGTAAATACACCCAAGATCTTAATTGGTTAACTAGGAGCCAGGTAACTTATCTATATTTATGAAACTGTAAACCCTGGAGCACCTAGCACAAAACAAAGAAGGAAGATACATTCAAGCCATTGGCCCCTTTAGGAATCCCACCAAAGATTCACGCGCAACAGTGGCGACCTCTGAACTACCACAAAACCCAACAGTAAGCACTCCTATCAGGTGCACAACCCTGAATTTCACTCCCAGACCTGTACACATGTAAAACAATGAACTTCTGGACCCACACAAATGTAAATTAGGTGGAGTAACTTCCTGGACAGCCCAAGAATAACAGGACCAGACAGAGTTGAGAATACTGACTGAGACTCCATTCACATCTCTGTGATGCAGGGGTGAGTGCATTAATTCCCATGTGCATTCTCGCATTGCAACATATCACATGTTAAACTGTTAGGTGTGTTGCGGTGCCATTATTTATGCACTTCTTTTAGTGCTATTTAGATGCAGTAGGCAGCCCATTCAAATTATTTGGCTGCCCTATCACAGCACACCCTGCAGCACATGTGCAATTATTATTATTATTATACAGGATTTATATAGCGCCAACAGTTTGCGCAGCGCTTTACAATATAATGTCGCATTGCAAAGATGTGAAGCAAGAAAGAAAGGCTTAGCACTCCAATCACATCCAAAAACACTCAGATATAGTAATAATCAATATCTTTAGCCTTCCTTCAGAGGCAAAAATGATAGCCATTTGAAAAAACTCAATAACTGTCAAATACCAGAACATAAGAAATTAATTTTCTGACTTCACTGTGCCATGCTTCACTTTTTTATTTCTATTTTTTCAGAAAAACGCTGCAAAGAAAAGCAATTTAGAAAATGACTATTTCAAACAGAGCTGCAATATACACAGACATTACGTGTAACTACAGAGCACTCTATTACGGAGCAAATTCAGGCAAACATACTTTATCGCATTGCAAAGATGTGAAGCAAGAAAGAAAGGCTTAGCACTCCAATCACATCCAAAAACACTCAGATATAGTAATAATCAATATCTTTAGCCTTCCTTCAGAGGCAAAAATGATAGCCATTTGAAAAAACTCAATAACTGTCAAATACCAGAACATAAGAAATTAATTTTCTGACTTCACTGTGCCATGCTTCACTTTTTTATTTCTATTTTTTCAGAAAAACGCTGCAAAGAAAAGCAATTTAGAAAATGACTATTTCAAACAGAGCTGCAATATACACAGACATTACGTGTGACTACAGAGCACTCTATTACGGAGCAAATTCAGGCAAACATACTTTTATTCTCATGCGTATTCCTTCAAAAGTCATAAAGCCATTTTTTCATTTATCCAACTTATATGCCTGGAATATTCTTAAAATGCTGTAACCTAGCAGATGAATGCTAAACATCAAGCAAGGAGCTAAATACACAACTGACAAACATATATCTGAACTGTTATAGCTGTCAAATGATGTGTAATTCTGTTCAGCCAGCCATATGGTCCATGCTCCACTGAGCAGCAGGGCACCTGACCTGCAGCACTGTGCAAAACAACTCAGCCCAATTTGGGTCACTGTTCTTATGTACAGGGAATAAAAAGGAGGCTGAAATCAAGACAAGTTGAGCTACTTGGGCTAGATTTATTTATTTTTTAATATTAGGAAACTGCTTTTTTTAATTTATTTTTTGGTTAAAGTTGGTCTAGTAGTGACAGAATCTGTAAGTTGAGCAGTGGGGGGGTTGGTTACATGGGCCTAAACAGATCTGCAATTTTTTAGAACCTATTATTAATCTCTAGCTGCAATTCTCACTTTGTGAAGAAAAGGAAGGAGACTCAAAGATGTGTGACAGGGCAGAAGATCCAGGAACAAAGCTATGTATCAAAGGTTATTTGTTTAAAAAAAACAGGTGTTGGGGGGGGTAAGGTCCTTTTGTTAAAAAAAAATTCCAGAGTTCTGTTTCAAGAAAAGAAAAAGCTCAAGGTGATGTCAACAGTGAAAGACTTCTAGACTTCAGTAGTTGCAGCAGATTAAATCCCGGCCAGACAGTAGCTGTATGGAGTTTGCATGTTCTCCATGTGCTTGGTTGGGCTCCAGTTTCCTCCCATACTCCAAAGACATGCTGGAAGGTTTGTTAGCTCCGGTCTGCATCTGCCGGTGTACAGTACGTGTGCATGTGATAGGGACCTTGGATTGTAAATTGGGACAGTAAATGAATAATATGTATCACACTGTATTAATTATAAACTACATATACTGTAAATCGAAGTGACTAAAAAAAATAAACATTTGTACTCTCTGTTTCTCTTGCAGTCTTCTGTTTTGATTTTTGTTTTTTCTTTTTACAGTGCAAGTTAGAAAATAGAAAGGTTGCTAGGGGCAACAAGCAATCCTTTTTGTCTCCAGCTGTTAAAGTGTATTAGTGTTCTGGAAAAGTATTGAATCTGAAGAATAGGTTATAGCAAACGTCTCTTCCATCTAAACAGCACTTTATATAAATGGTATACAGTTCCTTTCCACTCGGAGTTTATTACCAGGCTGGATTGCTGCTAGGGGAGCAAAGCCAATATAGCAGCACTGTCCAGAGGTCAATTTCATCCAGACAATATAAACAAGATCAGTAGTCTTTTCAACATTAAACTGCGGAGATGAGGAACATTTGTAACCTTCTGTGCAAGTTGCATGGCAGAGCTGGGGGCACTATTAATGCGTGAAGAAGATATTATACCTGTGGCACAGGGCTCCTGTACCATCCCTGACAAACCTTATTTATGTCCATTGGACTCTTTTTAAGAAAACCTAGGAGGAAATATAACCCAGGGAGAAGATGTTGTGGGAAGATGAATGTCTGCAATAAAGAAGACAAGTTACTTGGAATCAAATGCAATGATCAAAGAGACAAAGCTGCCATTCTTCAAAAAAATCTCCTCAAGTACAATGAAAAATGAAGCACTACGGAGCGGGTGTTCTTAAAACATGGGATGTTGCCCCCAGAGGTCATTCTATCAGCTCCAAGGGTTTATCCTGCTTATTAAACTCAGCATTTTCATTTTAATTGCAAAGTAAATGGTATGCACTTGTTTGTATTTTTAATAAATATTGGGGTCTATTCACTAAGCTGCCTTAGGCAGCCAAGTGAATGACCGACCTAAAGCGAAGTCAGCCGAACGCTGTTCGGCTATTCACTCCGGGCTGGTACAGCTGATTTCAGCCGTATATCGGCTGAAATCAGCCGTACATCGGGTGGCTTCGGGTCAACATGTTCGGCCGACCCGAAGTGCCGAAGGGGTTCGGCAATGCAGAACCTCCGGCAGGCCACTCGCTGCTGTTCGGTCTATTCTTATAGATGCCGAACAGCAGTGAGTGAATAGCCGAATGCCGCTCAGCGGCATTCAGCTCGGCTGTTCTGCTCAGTCCCTCTGTAGTACCAAGCAGAACAGAAAAATAGTTTAAAAAGTAGGAAAAAAATAAATAGAAAACGATTGTGCGGAGCTAGCAGTGACAGCTAGCTCCGCCCAACAGTTTTCTATTGGCCGGCAGTTCTGCAGCCGTCAAAAAAAAGAAAAGGAAAAAACTCTCCCGGGCGCTCTGGAAGTCTCCCGCTCCCGGCCGCCCAGGAGAGAAACACTGATTTTTCCCTTGTTTTCTTTATTCTGACACGGAGCCGTGTCAGAATAGAAAAAAAATTAATACATTTTGGCCATAGTAATGCATTGCTAGATTCCTATTGGCTATTTCAATTTGCAATAGCAAACTAGCTATTGTACCCGCCCTCTGCTGCTGTCAATCAGTAGTAGAGACCTGATGGAGAACTGCAGCAGAGGGCGGGTGCAATGCTAGTTTACTATTGGCTATTGGAAATTGAAATAGCCAATAGGAATTTAGCAATGCATTCCTATGGCCAATTCTGACACGGCTACGTGTCAGAATAAAGAAAAGAAAAAAGAAAAAGCAGTGTTTTTCTCCTTGGCGGCCGGGAGCGGGAGATCAGTGTCTCTGGTTAGCTGGTAACCAGGGACGCTGACCTGTCTGTGCAAGTGGCCGGAGCCAGCCGGAAGATTACAGCTGAACCGAAGGGGTCCTGGGGCTGAAGCTAGCTGAAGGATCGGCCGAAGCTACGGCTAGATCCTTCGGCTGCTTCGTGAATAGACCCCAAAGTGTTTGAAACGGAAAAAAAAACATGCAATTTTATATCGCAAATATAACTAATAAACATGTAATACTATATCACCTAAAGCAGACCTAGCTGAAGTGCTTGGTCATACCAAATGCAGACTAGATCTGCATGAGTTTCTGCACATTCAGTGCAGTGTGTTTTGCCGCATTTTTGGCGCGTTCCGGGCTGTTTTTGTAAAAGCTTAAAATGGGCTTTCACTGCGTTCCAGGACGTTTGCATGTGTTTTTGATGCACTTGCATGTGTTTTGGTGCGTTCCAGAGCAGAAAAAATAGGGCATGCTGCAGTTTTTCCACAAGCTCTGGAACTGAATACTCTGGTGTGAACTAGAGCCCAAAATACCATTGGAATACTTTGGATGCAGTTTTGATGCGTTCTGTAACTGCTCTGCTCTGCACTTGGTGTGAACAAGCCTTAAAAATGTAAGATTT